AAGTTCCTATTAAAAGTCCTCAAGAAAGTTACCAGTGTAACTGTCCCCAACACTGATTTGCAGCAGAAGTGCATAAAATCCTCATACAAAGCTTTGGAGACTACTTGGAGTAGGGTTTTAAAAGCTGCAGAATGCAGCTGATGTGAAAACCACCAGAAGGTGAAGGACTCCTAAATCTACTATCCTTTAGCTTAGGAATTCGAGAGGAATAGTTCAACCCTATAAAATCACAAAAAGAGCGTAGATAGGCAGAATGTGATTCCTCCACACCGACAGCTGAATAAACAGCAAGCATATTTTCTTATTAGTGTGATTATAGATTCATTAAAGCTGGTTTGGTTTTCCTGTCCAAGCCATAAGTCTCTCTCCTTTATAATACAGAGCATCCGTCATTCATCCAGTGGCCAGCCCTCATGGGTGACAACAAAAGGCAAAAAGAAATTTAAAAATTTTTTTAAAAAAAGACCTGCAAACTGAATGGCGACATTTCAGCCTGATTTGAGATAGACTGCACTGTGGTTTTTTAGAATTTCCCCTCAGACACACATTCCATATGACACTTGCGTCTCCCAGGGCTCAGAAAGGCTCTTAATTCCACTTAATTAGTGGAAAATCTGCGGAGATCAATTCAATTAGAAATGCCACAGATGACAGAACATACAGAAGTTGCATCTCAAGGGAATTTGATCAGGTATTTGGGAATAATATCGTGCTTTAAAAGCAAGAGGATGAAATAATTCTCATCTGCAGCCCAACTCTGGTGTATTTAAAGCTTGCTTCTGGGAGATGCTGAGTGTTGCACTTGAACGGACAAATACCCCGTGCTCTGAGGTGTTAAAAGTCTTAGCAACTGGCATTTGTCTGCCCAGCTGGTGAACCCGAGTAGCTGAGCAACCTGTGAGTTGCAGTTTTCTGCGCCTGGTCCGCATCACACTCAGTCCTCACCCAATTCCGTATCAGAATTATTATTTGTATTTATTTAAAAATAAATGATAGAGCAGAAAATAGTGACAGAAGTACTGCACTCTGCTAATGTGCTTTGTTAGTTGGTGAAAAATCATTTGTTCTGCTAAGAAGAGTCAGGTCTAAACTTTCTTCTAATCTTCGTATCTACTTTAGAAATCCCCTGAGGTAATTTACATCCTGGACAAATTGCAAAGTATTTCCTGGTGACAATTTCTAATCTGCTGGTTTTTGATATCTCCAATTCTGAAATTGGGTAAAAATACTTTTATCACTTTTTCTGTGAGGTGTGATAGGATAAGGGGTAACGGTTTCAAACTGAACAAGGGTTGATTTAGGTTAGATATTAGGAAGAAGTTCTTCTCTGTGAGGGTGGTGAGACACTGAAACGAGTTGCCCAGAGAAATTGTTGATGCCCCTTCCCTGGAGATGTTCAAGGCCAGGCTGGATGGGGCTTGGAGCAACCTGATCTGGTGGGAAGTGTCCCTGCCCATTGCACGGGAGGTGGAATGAGATGACTAAGGTGCCTTCCTCTTGTTTGAGAGGCAAAAGAACCGCTAACAAATTATCAGAATCTTTTGTAGACGAACTCACTCCGAGCTTCTCTCTTACCTTAGGAAGCCAGTGCACCGATTGGGCAAAAAGGGCTGTAGTTTGGGTCTAGCTATGGTACCATTAAATTCTGAATGCTATCTATCTCTTCTAATTTTGCAATCCGACCTTTAGATGAGTGGGCAGGTAGGAAAATACGGGTGTCCTGTGAGCTAATGAGTGGGCAGGTGGGAAAATACGGGTGTCCTGTGAGCTGCCTCCCGCTCAGAACCAACTCCTCCCATCATCCATGCCGGCAGAAAATACTTCTTCTACACTGAACTGATCTGTGGTTAAACAAGCCTTAGTGGGTCTGCCTGACACTGTACAAAATGATAACCTTTTGGTTATAGGTGGTAACAATTTCTGCTGGATTTTTTTGTAAAAATTTCCAAATTTCTCTTGCAACCTGGCCTCAGATGCTGCACAGACAAGAAGCCCTGTTTAATTAATCCCTTTATGGGATCCCTTCATGAATGAGGTTCCATGGGTTATTTTACAGCTCAGTGAACACTTGTGCATAACGTGTTCTAAGAACCAATTTATTAAGACTTTTTGAGGTAGTGGTTTCATTTGAACCTCAGAGGACTTTACTCCCATGAAAGGATAAAACTTGAAGGGAGGTTGTAGCGAGGCAAGGCTTGATCTGTTCTCCCTCGTGGGGAAATGGCCTAAAGTTGGGCCAGGGGGCGTTCAGGTTGGATATCAGGAAGGATTTCTGTACTGAAAGGGCTGTCAGCCATTGGCACAGGCTGCCCAGGGAGGGTCTGAGTCGCCATCCCTGGAGGGGTTTGAGAGACGGGTGGGTGTTACATTGAAGGAGATGGGTTAGTGGTGCCAATAGGGCTGAGAAAAAGGTTGGACCTGATGATCTTCTAGGTTTCTTCCAGCTGAAGCTATTCTATATAACTTTTTCCTTTGGAACCTATGGCTTCCGCTATGTCCTACATCTGTCAGGGTCACAACCTCATCGTGAGGTGGAAGACGAGTTCTTTCTCTGGGGGTGCGGTTTAGAAATGTCACTCCATCACTTTATCAGGTAATCAGTAAATCCCACGAGAAGTGATGGGTCCACTGCGCACTTTTGCCACAACCCTCCAGACTGTCATCTCTCTCCTTACTCATCTCTTTCTCCAGCTAAAGTCACAAACTCTTTAATATCTCTGTGTATAGAAGTTTGTCCCTGTTGCTGAAGATATTTGTCACTTTTCTCTACAGCTTTTCTTCTTCTCCAGTTTGGGTTTTGTTGGTTGGGTTTTTTTTTTGCAGTGAGCTGAACAGAACTGCAGCTGATGTCAAAGTTGGGAATGGTAACATAATGGTGTTTTCTGGTTTGCTTTTAAACTACTTTCATTATAATTCCTCACATTCCATTTGCCTTTCCAACTGCCGCTGAGGTTCAAAATGACATTTTGGAGAGGACTGTGTACAATGAGTCTAAGCTATTTTTCCGGAGTTAATTTAGACCATCATTATGTGTATGCAAAATTAGAGTTGTTTCCCTCTGTCTATTTTACTTTGCTTGCATCAGCATTTGATTTCATCTGCCATTGCACTGTCCAGTCACCCAGCGCCATGGTAGCCTTCTGTTCATTGTCAGGGCTAAATTTGCATGTAATTTAGTAATTTCATATCACTGGCAAACATTACGAGAAACTTTTAGTGGTTTTTTTTTAGACTTTGGCTTTTGTCTTTAGTGTTTGATCTAATCCTACACAAATGTAGGCAAAAGAGAATGAAACTAGAGGAAAATGGTTAGGGTTGGTTTTTTTATTTTCTACTGAAAATTGTCAGATCTTTTTACTGTCTCTTTGCCCTGTTGGAACTAATTGCTTTCAAATTGTAGTTTAAAGGCCGTCTTTCCTCAGATGTTTGTCTGACTAAGGAGATGTCATTCCAAACATTTCCAGAGTTTAGGTCTGAAATCTAACAACGAAAGGCAGGCTTTAAATGCAAATGTAAGAAAAAAAAATAACGCTACTGAAATTGATCCACAAGAATGCCCCTTTATTGTTTTTCTGCCTCTTCATTTTTTGTTAAGATAAGAGCTGTAAAGGGCAAAGAAACAGTCTGAAAATTTTGCCTCTCTGTATTTTGGAGTATTAGCAGCATGTGCTTGAACACAGTGGTTATTAAAGTAAAATGTAACTTTGGTAATTAGATTATAATGATCCCTTGGGTTTTTTTACAATATATGCATATCACAGTGCAGCACAACACATAAGAACTTATGGGCTTCCCTGCATAGATAGTGATGTAAAGCTTCCAAGGAACTTCATCCTATGAGTTTTTCAGTGTTTCAGTCTCAAATTTCAGAATTTCAAATGAACATTCTAATAAGGCCATTCCAATTTCAATGAGTTGACAGTACACTGATTTAAGTAATAGTTCTTTTCTAATTTTAAACTCAATTTCTTATCCTATTTCAAAAGAAAAGAAGCTCAATCTAAGATTATGTTCTTTTTTATTTGATCATAGATTCAGCTGCTTTGCCATGGAGAGATGGCTTGTTACTGCGTGATGGATGCTCATTCTTCACAATCAACAAACCAAAGGCCATGAAAGTCCATGAAAAAGATGCCTCTTGATGTTAGTAAACTCTGCTTCAAATTTATGATCGGAAATGTGGACATTGTTAGTGAGTTTATTGTGTATGGGCTTTGCTATCCCAGTCCAGCTACACCAAATCTCTTTTGCAGGGACTGAGCACGTATTCAGACAATTTTCTGGACTCAGACTAAGGCATCTCATAAAATATTATTTTTACTCTTGGAGCACATGAGAGAGTTTCTTCATTAAAGAATACCAGTCCAGTATTCCCACTCCTGTGACTATCCGCTCCAGTAGATACACTCCAGTATATCCTACTCACATGTCATCAAGACATAGGAGTAGGAATCCTGCACCGAGGACGTGTAGAGCTGATACCTGCAGAGAACAGTTACATGTATAAAGATACGCTTTGGTCAACGGGCTGGTGTGTTACAGGCAAAAAATAGGAAATTGAAAATATCTATGAAGAGGAAGTAAAGCTTCCATGAAGTACAGGTAGATCCATGACCCCCCAAAAAAATTATGGCAGCAGTTTGATGTCACTGTTCTTCTTTTTCTCGGTTAGCTCAAGTACCCAATATGCAGTATTTACATTTTATTTTGCAGACTATAGGTGCAGTCTATAATTTAACCTGGGCTTTGTACATGATGTACTGTGTGCAGGTATGTGTTTAATTATTAACTGAAACAACGTAGTTGCTCTTTATTTTTATTTTACCATTTACCTACAGAAAAAAATTTACCAAGGCAAAATTTTACACTATGATATCACAGGAGAAGAAAAAAAAAAAGAGCAAACAAAAAAAAAATACAAACAAACCAACCAACCAACCAACAAAAAAACCCAGAGGGCAGAATGCATTTATCAGATTAATGCAAACAATACTCCTCATCTTCAGCTCATTTGGATCTTTTGTTTGGAGTTCAATCTAACTGAACACAACAACAAAATGAACATTCATTCTTCTTCAAGACTGATCTGTTTCCTCTGGTGAAGGCAGTTTGTCAAGTGCTCCCATCTCTGCAAAATGGAAAAAAAAAAGAAAGAATTAACACACATGTAAGTGTGCATATTAATCTTAGCAATGAAATAAAGAAATGCAGTTTCAGTAGTATATATTTGTATATTTTTCTTTTCTCAACTATGAGGGAAATCCTTGACCTCTTCCATGTTTTAACTTATGAACTACTTTTTTTTCTTTTCAGTGTTAATAATAATTTCCTGCTATAATTGCGCCTTTTTAAAATCAGCAGTGACAGAATGACAACGAAATTGCATCAATTTTATTATGTCAATGGATATTGCTGGATCTCAGCATCTCAAAAGATTTAATATTATCCAGCTATGGCTGCCATCCTACAGCCTGCTCTATATGGGAAGCCTTTAAAGCTGGAGGGAGCAATTTCCGAGAGCCGAAGGCTACTTTTAGATACTGCCAAGGTACTTCCTAGAGGTTAAAATCCTCGTTCTACCTCGCAGACCCAAATGTATGTCTAAGCTGAATAACCCTTCCCTGAATCTGAATCCCATGAGCGAGAGTTTCCCCCCTCTCCCCAAAGGAACATACCTAAACCAAGATTCTTTACGTAGCAAAGTCTCATTTCAGCAAAAACATTACGGCATCTCGACCGTAACAAAGTCTATTTTTCGCCTCCTCAATCTACAGTTCCGATCCTGCGTAAGAGTTTGCACTGGGTCTTGCCAATATGTATGGCTAAGGGATAATTTGACAGCTTTCTGTGTCTTTTGAAACCTAGGATTCCAAGACCCATCTCAGGGAAAAGATGTTTCATATGAATTCCTTTTTTTTTTTACGACGACGGGTAACACCGCCGTCTCTTCTGAATAAAACCAGCCATTGGTTGTCACTGTTCTAACCAAGGAATCATTACTTAGAGTTACAATACAGACTTTTTGCTCATTTCCTGCAGGGAAGAAGCGATCGGTATTTCTGTGAGATGTGTTTTATTTTCTTGCCCGACGTAGCAGAGAGCGTGTTGGAGCTCAACGGGCTTCACGCCCTTGGTTGCGCCCAGTTACTGATTTTATTTCCCAGGCTCCCCTAGGTAAAGGAGTGGTTGTGCCTCCTCCTTCTTCACAGCAAACAAGCTACTACAATGTCGATGGTAAATACACATCCTAATAATCTACTTTAAATATACATTTGAATTATCTCAGGCCCTTAGTTCTGACCACAAGAAGTCTTTATTTTGAATGTGAAGTTGACCCAACGCACACTGGGTCCCTATTTTCAGTACTGAGAATTGTTTTGCTTGGGTGGATTAAATCATTTAGGAAATTATGCCAAAGGGCTCTAGAGTTTTGTTTCCTAGATATACAGAAAATTAACAGCTCCCTTGAAAGTCTATTTTAAAAATGAAATTAAAATGCAGATCTAACACGCTGTTCTCTTGTTACTGTTCCACAGCGTACATTTGCCACAAAATCACCTACAATTTGTTGTATACAAAGATAAGTATATAGAAGTTACAGATTTATTGAATTGTCTGCTTTCTGAGGCAGATTCCTCAGACATCTGCACTAAAAAATAACCTTTTTTTCCTTCCTGTTGTTTTTTTCACAAGCATATATTATGGTTTTGAACATTTGTAGGCAGTTTTAAGAAGGGCTGAAGATGTTTTTGAAAACTCAGAATTGTGGTGTTTTCTTAAGAAAGCAAAACTAATGAAAACTCTGAGGCAGACAGATTTTTTCGTCGGCTAATGCTATAATGAAGTTCCCATTGTTACAGAATTACAGATTTACTGATTTCATGACTCTTGCCACAATATCAAGACTCTGTGGAACTTTTACTAACAATGTTTTGAGCTGTTTGCCAGCGTCCAGCTTAGTGCTGTCGCAATTTTATGATGCGACTTTCTTGCAGAACACACGCATTTCTTTTGTTACTAAAAATTCTTTGGGAATTTCAACCGACTTCCTTGTCATTAAACTGAGGTTTTATTTAATTTGTTAATGAGATGGTTTATATTAACTCCCATGTAATCAGACTTTATTTAAGTGTGTTTTCAACTCTTCTAAAAGTTGGGTCTATGCAATTTTTAGTGCCTGCCATAGGTGGTTCCTCCCTCCCACCAGAGATGCTGTTCAAAGTCCTGCACGCTCGGGTCTGGAGCAGACTGGTACATTCAAAGACAGTCCTGTCTTGTCGGTATTTAAGATTAAAGAGGTATTCACTAACCTTTAAGATGCAAGTAAGTCAAAAACTCGATTACTGTGCGCACAATGTTTTCATCAGCCAGCGGTCTTCCAAGATTCCCTATAAAATGAGCCAGTTGTTACTCAATGTTAACATGGTGTAAAGGTCTATCGATGGGAGACTGCAACTAGGTTTATGAGTACGGTGAAAAAAATGCTGCCTGAAATGTCTTTTTCCCTAAAAGCATTAATGGAAAAACCTCGTTTCATGGAAGAGCACAGCCACTTTGAGGTAGGGAACTGCAATTCTCAGAATCAAAATTGCCTGGCTGTGTGCACTAGGGCTGCACAGGAGATGCTCTGATACCTTCAGCATCATGACCTATAAGGCCTTAAGAGTTCTGCTGCAGAAGTGAGTTCTCCTCTGCTCTCAACTCCCTCCTTTGCGGCCACTAGCCTGAGATTGAAGGGAAAGGGAAACACGGCAAACAAATTCATCAACCAGTTAAAAGTTCTTCATGTAGTCTGACTTTGTTCCCCAAAAGCCACTCAAGTGTTGCAGAAGCCCAAAAGCTACACCTAGGACTTGACTAAAAGCTCACCCCGGTATGTTTATCTGTATGTAGCTAACACTCTATAGATCTCTTTGATCTTGTGGAAGCAGGTCTTCTGATGTTTTTTAAATGGCCCAATTTATCGAGCTCCCCGGGAGCTTATTATTGCACTTTGGGAAGCTGAGCAGTAGGCTTTCTGTGTCTATTTAGAAAAAGGAAAAGAAAAAAAAAAGGAGACATCTTGCTTTTTATCAAGAGGATAGAGAATTGTTCTCTATTAGAGAACAAATGGGAGGTAATTTCCCTAAGATTTTTAGCCCTCTGCATACAGAGCAGACGGGTACCAGCGCCTGGCCGACAGCCCATTATTGCATCACTGAAAATACTGCCCCTTGATGTTATTACAGGGGATGTGTTTTATCTCCGCAAATGGGCTGAAAGGCTGACTTTGCAGCAGGTGGATGTTGGTGGAGTTTTTCTGTGACGGCAGAGAAGATTTTGGCCACTAGCAGACAGAGCTCTGTGGCACATATGAAAAATATTGATGGGGAGCTGTAAGGGACGCAGAGGTTTCTGGTACACAGATCCTCAGCATTTAAGAATTCTGCATCTAAATTCTTGTCTTCCAGTCTTGGAACTGTCAAAAAGAAGCTGTTATGACTTACATTAATGCTACTTGTATAATTTGAAGTTTTCCTTAATTTAATTTTTATTCTCACCTAATCTGTTACGGATTTTTGTTACTATTAATCATTATTTTTTTAGTAGTTTATTGGCCTAGATTTTATTAGCAATGTCGTATTTATTGGATAAATAGTATTTTTTAGCAACTTGAGCATATCGTATATGTATATTTGTATATACTATGTTACTGGCCTTAATTCTGTACAGCCTACTACTTGTAGATGTAGTGAAACAGTTATGCTACTGGAATTCAAAGATTTTCCTAATTATGCTCACAGATTTTTATTTTATTCATTTTTTCCTGAATGTAGTATGTGACTAATACAGCTTACATGTACATGACCCATACAGCTTACAAGGTCTTCTTGGTTACCTGGACAGCTTGCAAATCCTAGCAATTCTAGCTATCTTATCCATTTATTTTATTTTTTTATATCCAAATCTGTGGAGAGGAACTCTACAGCAAGCTTCAGCCTCAGAGAAAACTTTTGATGAGAAAAGGGTGTCTCTGATGAGGCTCCTCACCAGTTTATCTAACTTTCAGGTCCCACCCGAATGAATTTGGTTGGGTTCACTAGTAATCATGGTGGTGCAGCAGTACCTGGCAGAGGAGTTTCATAACTCTTAAAGATCCTATTCCTGTGAAGGAGCTGCTGTGTATCCACAAAGGACATGGCGCCGCGTGAGCTGCCCCTTTAGGTTACAAACTGCCTTCCTCGCACATTGTTTCTGACTAGCAAACTGTTTATTTCCACAGTGCTATTTGAGGAAGCAGGGTTCTCCTTTCTCCCTCCCTCCCTCAACTTTTTTCTTAAAAAACTAACAAAGCACCAGCAGCAAAAAGAAAATAAATCACAAAACAAAAAACCAAACCGAAGCAAAGCCCAAAGCCACCGAGCACACAAAGCCCTGTGATGTAACTAGGTGGCAGAGCTGACCTGGCTTCCCCGTCCTTCTGGGAACGTGAAGAGTAAGAAATGTGTTTGTGCTGCTTCACTGCTCACAGAGTGACTGTGCCCATGAAACTGTATTTAAGCGCGTTTCCTTTATTTCGGAACGCACTCGGTGCCAGCAACATTCACTGGGTGGATCTAAAATGGGTCGCAAGAGCTCGGGAGCTCTGCTCACACAGTGACCGGTGCTTGGGCAAGAGCTGTGTCCTTGGGCTGCCAGGAGGGACACGTCCTGCTGTGACAGCCCATGGAGGAGCTCCCTTAAGATGTCTGCAGCACATCTGGACTCTTCTCAGGAGAAAGAATTTTTTTTTTTTTTCTAGAAGCTTCTACATCTTTTCCTGAAGTAAGCATTCAAAATAAGTCCTCAAGGTGCCCGGTTCTCTTCATAAAGGGATCTGGACGTGTGTTGTCTGGATGATTAACCCAGAACAAGGCTGCACCTCTTTCATCATCATTTCCTAAATCCTGACACAGGCAACTTCGAAACAATATGTGGGCTTGGCTTCACTTTTTGGCCAGGTTCTCAACTTTTTGACTGAGAAACTAAACATGGTTTCCTGTATTTAAGCAAGATGGGTGATACTCATCATTGTGAGACATAACATGGAGTTTTTACAATTTTTTTTTATACAGCAAAGACCCTTACAACATAATCAGTGCCAGACAGTTCTAAGGTCTAGTTTCAGCTCTGAAGTATCAGAATAGACAAAAAAGCAAATAAATGCCGATTTCTGTAGCCTTCCCTACTGAAAAATTCCTTCGGAGCTCACTTCTTTGCTGAAAAAAACTAACTCTCCAGTGCCTAGGGTGGCATTTTATTTGAACATAAGAAAAAAAAAAAAAAGCTATGTCGATTCAAAGTAATACGATCTATTATACTTTAAAAGCAACACGATTGTCGTACTTTTCGCCAGGCACCAAGATGTTTTAAACCATGACACTGTACAAAGAGCACTCTGAGTGGGTCAGTTGTTTTTTTCTTCCTTTCCTATGTTTATTAGGATTGTTTGTTAAAGTGCAGGAATAGCCTTAGGTAGCCAAGTCAGTAACAGTAAATAAATCACTAAACATAAAAACCAAAAGTGACAATACTGGCTTTCAGAATTTCATTACCTGCTTTAATATCCTCGTCGGGCTGTATTTCACGTTTGCCAGTGAAACCATTTTTGTCATTAAAAGATCTGTGATTATCTACTGCATCTGAAAAATAAATTAAAAATCAGAGGAGTTAATAAACTCACCAACAAGCTTTGCCATGTTACTTGCTTTTCATGGATTAGATATGGAATCATAGAATCATAGAATCATAGAATCATAGAATCCAGCCTAGGCTGGAAAGAAAATATCATGATGGGCACTTGGATGTACAAAATGACAAAGAAGCAATTAAGGTGTCACTAAATAAAATACTCTTCTGGGTTTTTAATTCGTGCTTATGATTTATAACGTTTACAGCCCCAGCCCTGCACTATGTACTCGCTGAAGCTATTACTGACTTCAGAGGAGATCGTAAAAAAAATCTAAGTTGGTCCATCCAGTCAAGTGCAATTTGGGAAGCTGTTTTTGCTACTATTTTCTCTAGTTTCCCAAAATGTTGCTGATGAGTTTGCTTAAAAGAAAACTGCAGATAGTTTTGGAAGTTTATTCATGTAAACTATCTTACATGCCCCTGGTGCCTCTTCTCTCCCCCTTGCAATGGGCATTTCCTTTATCAGTAAAAGCTGATCAATACGACCTGAAACAAAGGATGATTCCTATTACCCAGTCTGAGATGAATGGCACTTTGACAAGTATATTTCCCCACAGCATCTTTGCCAAGTTGGTTGGCTTTGCTTCAGGCAAACACACTTCCAGGCATTTACAAAACTAGTAATACATTTAAGATGCATTAATCTTTTTTTTTTTTTAGGTATTCATACCTATTCATAGCTAAAAAGGATGAAGAAATTCATAGTAAGTGCCTGTAGTACTTGTCGTGTATTAGTGAGACTGAAAATCTAGAAGCGTTTGCAATGAGTGTTTATATTAACAAGAAATAACGGTAAAAGGACAGATGCACCGCATTTCACTTTTCTTATATTCCACGTTTGTGATTCGCCATCTTTGTAAATCAACATGCTCCTGTACTTAAAACACCTCGTACATAAAACATTTTTCCCATAGTGAACTGTTAATATTTACAGGCATGAGTTTGCACGTTACTGTTTTAATTAATTTTGCACATTACTGTTTTAATTAATTTTGCTTTAATAGGAAAAAAGAGTGTAATAAAGCCAGGTAGTGAAGCCATTTTCAAACAGATTTAAAGGTGAAATCCGTAATACACTGAGAAATGCCAGAGATGTCACATTTTGTCATTTTTCCCTTGACATCTAAGACGTCAAGGCTTTGTAACACTTCACAGAGGAGGGGAAGTATTTGTCCTATGAACATTCCAGTTCAGAAGCACAGAGGGTGGTCAGGTGTGCTTCTGGCTATAAAGCCTCACTGCACAGCTCTGCTTTAGCAAAAAAAAAATCACTTACTAAGACAATTCTACAATGGGCATGTAACAAATACCTGGTTTTCAAAACCCCACCACCACACACACACCAAAAAAAAAGCACCAAATTTCTGCATTTTGAAAAGAAAAAAGAGTGCTTGACTTACGTGGCCCAAGTAGGTAACCAGCACTATTCAGAGTCCATCCCCTTTTCTCTTTTGCCTTAAAGAAAAAAAAAAATCCAAGTGTGTTATTGCATTGACTACACAGTGTTTTTGAAAGACAGAGCAAGTGGCACCCAAACAGACATTCTCTTAGCAGAAAGCGTCTTCTGAAGGCTTGGAATCAAGAAATAATGTAAAAAATAAAACCAGTGATTCTGAAGAGAATAGGGTCTTGCCTGGGTCACCACTTCTGCCACAGCCAGCCCTGTGGTGTGAGAGTTTCACACCAGGGAATTGAAGCTGCCAGTCACCCTGAGGAGGCAGAAATTTCGCCTTCATGCCCCAAGATTACAGTAACACCTGACAGTCACCTTAACCAGCAACATTTTCTTTTAATTGTTCGGACCTGCGAGGCAACCTCTTTGTCGGAAGCACACACGGCTCGGGCAGCACACGCGGTCGGTTTTGCTCGGTAAACCGGTCACTTCGCTTTTTTCTCGCCCTTTCAGTTTGTGACAAGGGTGCCAGCCTCCAAAAGCCTCGAACTCTTAACTAAAACCCTTGCTTACCTCCCAAAATGTCCCTGAGAGCTGCCCAAAGCG